GTTAGCGGTACCGAACCATCTAATTTCAAGAACTTGGTTCATTATGGGTGGATCCGACCGTCAAGTTTTAAGTAATAGTTTTGATTTCAACAACAGGCGCTTACTACCACACCCGTAGAACAGATGTTAACATCATGATGAAGTAAGTCGGAGAGATTGGACGTTACGTTTGGTCGACAAGTCCCATGGATCAAGCAGTCATTCAGTACTATTGGGCGCTATGTCTCCATAAAGCTAATATTACATCACTATGATCACTTCGGAACTGGTAAATTGAACACATAATTACCTCATTCACACAACAAGCAAGAGCATCACGTGAGCTGTAAAAATGAGAAACAAGCAGAAAAACTTTCCCGAAAGCAACTTTCAAACAAACTAAAGATGAGCAGATGACAAAATACGACGGAGACAAGTGTGTATTCCATTTTGATTGTTTAAATTAGTCTCTTCACGACGGAAAAGCAAATGATACTCACATGCTGAAAGCTAGTAAAGGGAAAACACGAACGAACCTTTGTGTAGCAAATTAGTAGGAAACGCACAATCCCATTCGATCGGACGGACAATGAAAACCACCAATTTATACTCTGCGTAAAAAAACACGGATTGATCCAAACAAGTGCTGGCTTTTCACACTAAAAAGCGGTATCACCTTACGTGCAGGCTTTTAGCCAGTGGTGGACTCAAATCGAACATACTGCACCGGCGAGTTCCCACTAAAAACTGGTGCTCTCGTTGGTGTACACTTGTAAACATGGATCACACTCTGGTACGGACCACATTCTGGCTGCGCCAGAAAAACAACGGCAACGGCTATTCACATCTCACGGCAAGTAAACCCGTTCGGCTATGCTGTGTTTGAACTAAGGAAATGTATAGCGGAAGTTGATCGTCCCTTGACACGTACGATAATAATCAAAGAGTGAGGCACATGCACACATGGAAAGAACAGACGAAATTCCACATGAGTAGCAAGCTCTTCCTATCCGACAGTCGTTTTTTCAGGGACAGGTAGACTAAACCGATGTGAAGCTTGCCATTTTTCGGATGAAGTTGCGAGAGTTTACGGAGATTCTATGGATTACAACGTAGGAATACGAGACTCAGACTATAATCGTAACTGAACACTTGATACAGCGATTCATGGAGTTCTTCTGTTCGGGAGGGCTTTCCGCGGAGTGTTAAAAAGATAGGAATACTTATCCTCTCGGGAAACTAGCCGTAATCTCCCCTTTAAAACGAGAGACAGGAAGAGAAATTCGTGCAATGATCACTGACCTTTACGCCGTATTGTTCTTTCAGTTGGTCCAAGGTAGCACGGCGTTCTAATTCGCGAATTTCAGCAGCTGGGAAAAAACGGAACCAACGAAGTGCCAGTCATATTTATGAAAAACTCATTCATCAATATGCTAGCAATATCAGTGGAGAGAGTATAAAGTCGTTGCAAATTTGTTAAAAATCATCAACAGACGAAACGGAAGCGGAAATCACACATTCGAGTTTGAACGTTTTTAGACCCCTAATGTCGAAACAATTCAGTAGATCAATATGGCCGGTTTGGTCGTAATGGGCTACTACCGGGGAGACCTGACCGAAGTATTTAATCTGTCTAAATGAAGGTAGTCGGTGTTCAATTGCGGAAACAGAACACCGAGGTATATCCTGCAGTTTCTTTTTGTGGAACTCTTGGAACGTTGCGTGCATCCCATCGACCAAGCACCATTTCCACAAGCGTAGTTAACGTAATTGTGCTTTCAATGGACTCTATTATTATTAGTAGATTCCAGGCCGCTATTGGACAATCGTGAATAAGACCACACTGGAGGAAATCGATAAATAACGGCCGAGATCTATCGATGTCAAACTTGAAACTGTGAATGAACTTGCGGCTGTGCCTTCCCCCAAGTACTTCTCTGGCTAAAGGTACCCCTGGGTGGAGTAAGACTCATTCGAACCACATAGGACACAGTAGAAGTCAACCGACTGCGCCACCGGGCTTATAGTCCTACATATTCGAGTTCAAGTTTTCACAAGCTCAATGGACATGCACTACTGACGGTCACTTTTAAGATGAGACGGTTGGCTTTAGCTAAAGTGATATAGAAAATTGGAGGTTCACTTCAAGGACCTTTTGGATGACTCGAATCCTGCATTGCGATTGACTGTTTTCCGACCCAGAAGCATGACATCTACTAGATGTACTAGGTGACCATATGCGCGCACACACGATTAGAACACGGTGTATGAAGGACCTGAGGTGTCTAGTCAACTTTTACAGCGAGTGCACCAGAGCCAGTTGCGACCCGCTTTACTCAAGAAGGAGTTGTGAGGTAATGATATTGTGCGTGCAAGACGGCCATTAGGCTGGGATTTTTGATCGTTGCTAGCCGTTTGGTTCTCGTGTAGATTAAATGGATTGAACAAAGGGTAACAACGAAGTTGAGGTTGAGAATAACCGAGTGAAAATCCGTTATCGTTTAAAATGAGGTAGACACGTTACCTTTGACTGTGCAACACTAAACTCTGTTTGAAATTTCTGCTTAAGGTGTTTACGAAGCAATATCGAGATCGACTGATGATGTAGGCAGAACGGAATGCGGAGCACAAGGGGAGTGTAAATATGCCTTGTTGCCGGATGGAACCACCTCGATTGAAACACAAGAATAGGATAATTTTTATCGCATGCCACAGCACAATACTATTATGCGAAGAACAGGTGGTAACTCCATAATCACGAGAACCTACTATTTCCTCATCGGAATCGTCAATTTAGGCCCGAGGACTCGGAGTGGCAAATTGCATAAGTGTCCCACTAAAATAGACGTGGTAGTGATCAGAACGACAAAGAATCTGCCTAACACGACCATGAACAACAGTAACAACAACAATATTGTTGTCCGTGGCCCTTCTGGGAGAGAGAAAAAGTGCTTGCGGCACAACCCTCACTTATTTGAATGATCGAGTGCAATAATCGGGTGTCAATAAATAAGGTGCTCATTGGGCCTCTTCCACATGGAATATACACGAATCAACATTAGATTACAGCTTTATGGAAATGTACCGAACGCTTGAATGGTTTGACCGAGTAGAACAGGGATACAAGGAAGTCCTTATTCAGAATCACATATTTCCACGGATCATCGTAGTGTTTTTAATCACGTTGGATGTAAGGGGCATCTGATTGCAGCGGTGTCTGCGGGCTGGTAGGCTACCTGACCTTAGAGCGTTTTCTTTCGCTTTTGTCTCTATTGTTTATTTGACCCTTTCCGGCACTTCCAAAGCATGTATCAGTGGCTTAACCCCGGCAGGTCGTCCGACAGATGGGTTACACCAAGTTTAGGGTGACCCAGGGCAACCTTCCCCCCCCCACCGGGGCGGGGCAGTGTAAGGTAGGTGAAAACAAATACTCATTAGCAGATGAACTATACCTATTGCTCTATCCAACGGTTATGCAGGAAAGCTCGCTCAACTGATGGACAGGCGAGAATTCCCGGGCTATATCCATATTTATCAGATAACAAATGAGCCCTGGGAGCCATTGGTAACCGTGCATCAACGCACTGCTGTGTACCAGTCTGCATTTGGCTGTGCAGATGTTAGAGGTAGTGGTAGTGTTCAGGTGGTTAGAATTATTATCACTGGTACGCTTGGGGTTGTGAAGTCAGAGGTCCAAACCTTGCAAGGTCTACCAAAATTTGATGGTGGTCATCCAACTAAATACCACACCCATGTAGGTAGGGGCCTTATGTGGTTCGTCATTCCAGGTCCCAGGGTTTGAGCTGCTGATGACCATGAAAGCAAAGTACATATCATGGGGTTTATCCACTTTTCTATCACACAAAGTTGTGCAATACAGAGGGAAACGCATTCGAACAAACCGAGTGACCCTGAGGACGCTTCCTGTGCCAAACTTCAGTGAAAGCTAATGATTTTTTATGAATCTGGCCTATACTTTCCAAGGAGTCAACCACAGTAGAGGAATTAATTTTTTACTAATTATTTAAATCGTGTAGGTTTACAATATCATTATGAGTATCGGTTGTCCACATTTGCTCTGAGGTCATGGTTCTGACACATTACTCGAATTGCATAACAAAAAGGTGACTAGGCAAAATGTGGGTCGGCAGCACGAAGAGTTAAAAACCTCGAACTGCAAAGTCGTGCAAACAAACGGCAGCAGTTAGAAAATATAATATATATATATATATATAAGTTAGGAAAATATAAGGTGCTACGATGGGCTATAGTGGGATAGACCATAGTTTCGTCTGAAAAGAAAAGTTGTCACCACCACCACCACAAAGAAGACAATGATGAGAGTTAGCAAGAATAACCCAGCTGTGCGTTACGGATGCAAAACCTGGGCATAAAGGAACATGAGAACTGACCGGTAAGAAACACAGTAGGTTGTTCGGGCGTGCCATCGCACAGATCAGCATCAGCAGTCGCCGATTCACCTTCATTCGGCGACACAATAGGTACTTGGGCTTCCTCCATGGCCATTCGAACTGTTTCCGGATCGCATTGGCCACAGCACTCGTGCCCCTCGTGGACGTGGACCAGAAGACGAGAGGACCCGATTCTGATCACATCACCATGGTGTAAAAAAATTTGAGCACCCTGAAATGACAGCGGGAGATTTGGAACAGGAAGCCTGTTAGTGAATGGATATACGAACTTAGTCAATGTCACATTGAGCCTCCCATGGATCGGCCTCAGTGAAGACTGGATACAATAGTAGCAAAGCTGTCGTGAACAATTGCGTCTGTGTACACCATTGTTATGAGGAACGACAATAGTGGTTGGATGAAGCCAATTGAGTAGAAGGACCAACGTGAGGCATTACACTATCTGAGTTATTGTTGGTGTTCGGACGCTTTCCGCCT